GTGTGTGCGTGTGTTTACATACATACAGATCATAGATAGATAGATAGATAGATAGATAGATAGATAGATAGATAGATAGATAGATAGATAGATAGATAGATAGATAGATAGATAGATGTGTAGTTTTGTTGTTTTTTCGCCTAGAATTTAATTTATTAAAATAAATAATCCTGCTTTATTTCATTTTTCAAAGAGTTGCAAACATTTTTCGGGTCTAAATCTGTTGTTCAATGAGCAGTTTTCATTCTGCAGGAGGAGAGACGCAGTCAGTGATGAAGGTGAGCAAAGCATCAGGGATTCATTAGGAAAACAAACCTTATCGATAGAAAACAGCGGAGCGCGCGCCCAGCAGCGGCGCTTTGATCAGAGCGGCGGCTAAATCGATGCAATGACAGATTTTAAAGATGAGTTTGGAAACCCAAACATGCATGTGAGTAAAGTTGCCGGTGGATCAGACTCATGCAACTAACCTTCATTGCTGTTGCTTCCTGATGCGCTCAGAGTCTGGAGAGAAAACAGGAGCAGCAGCATCGCAGCAAAGCCTGGATCTGATGCCATGCTCCCCTCAGCCTCTCCTTCCTCCGCTCCTTCTCCTCTGCTGCTCCTCAGCTGCTCCTCTGCTGCTCCTCAGCTGCTCCTCTGCTGCTCCTCTGCTGCTCCTCAGCTGCTCCTCAGCTCCCAGAGTGGCGGAGCGCGCGCTGGTTGGAGCAGAGTCTGCGTGAGTCTGGCTGCCAGCTCATTGGACCTGAAGTCACAAGCTGCCTCTTCAGTCTGGCGGCTTCATTTCACGCGCGCACACGACCGCGCGCACGGACTTTAGCCGAGCTGTCGGTGGGGGGGGGGTTCAGTATCCAATCAGAGCTGGCCGGTCACCACCTGCCTGATCAACTCATATAGGTGGCTCCAGACAGGCAGCATCATGCCTGCAGGCTGCATGCAGCGATCAGTGATCAATAGTTACTCTGCCCCCCCCCCCCCCACCCCGATCGATGGACGCGTCTCCATCAGTTGGGGTCTGACGTCACAGTTCCTCACCTTCACAGACTTCAGCAGAGGCAGAACATCGTTCAGCAGATCTAAGTCTTCCTATTGATGATCTACGGTCTGTTTAGGCGGAGCGGTGGTCCCTGAGCAAGACCCTTAACCTCACACTGCTCCCTGGGCGCCGCACTATGGCAGCCCACTGCTCCCCAAGGGGAGGGGCTACATGCAGAGAGGGAGTTTCTCCAAAATGAAATCAATAAAGTTGGATAATCATTATTATTATAGATGATGAACCAACAGAAACAAAAACAGAAACCTGCTTTTATTAACACCTTTAAGAGTCACCATGGGGACTTCTAGCCATTTATATTTTATAAAAGCCAATTTCAGTTCTATCTTAGAATAATCGAGTCCGAATGAATTAAAGAATAGTTATTCTTTAACCTTTAACTGATGGATTTATTTAATGCTATAGTAAACTTTAAACACTGAATAATTAAGGTGATCGCCGACGCTACGGAAGACGATTAGGGCCACTGAAAAAAAAAAATAATTATTTCAGTTTAACATGGGAAAAAAGTCAGAATTCTGACTTTTTTCCCATGTTAAACTAAAATAAAAAAATAAATTGTAAAAATCAGTTAACTTTTTTTTTTTTTTCCAGTGGCCCTAATCCTCTTCCGTAGACGCAGCCAAATGTCAACATGAATGAATATTTATTACGTCTGTGTGTTCATATGACGTCTAATCGTGTAATAATAATAATCTTCAGCCTGTTTCTGAACTCTGACGTTATTTCAGGGTCTTTCTGAGCTTTGAACCGAGCTGCTGGATCTCCTCCATTGTTGCAGCTCGTTAAGTTAACATGCTTTGGTTTCCATCAGTAAGTTCAGTGAATGTAGAGAGTGAAAGCGAATGCAGCTGGCCCGTTTGATGCAGATAGATGCCAAACCCTGAACTCCTCTTCCTCCAGGAGCCTCGGACACACAGAGGGTCCCTGTTTGACCCCATAATGGCTCATCCGCCACGTTTCCAGAGGAACATCGAGCCTTTGAGAAATTTTAGAAACTACAACAGGGAAGACAGCAACAGGCGGGGGCAGAGCAAGGTGTGCCGTTTGACAACGTTCAGCTCTGTTGGTGTTTTATTGCTGATCTGATGTGTGAGGCTCTGTTTCTTTACCACTAGGCTGCACTGTCAGTCTGAAGGACAACGGCGCCGTTATCTTCACCCCGATGATGCAACCTTTCAGGAACACGAGAGACGCGCCAATTTATAACCTTCACAGGAGTTTCAGCAAGAAAGAGAAATGCAGTTTGTAAAGAAATAACAAACATAACAAAGATGTTATGTTTTAAGCCAGTGACTGATGCAGCAAAGCTGCAGCAGACAAACTGGCATGAAGCAGTTTATACTCAACATCCTACAAACTTTACCTCATTTTAATAAAAACAATCTACTTGATTTTTTTTTATTCTGTATTTCATGTGAGAAAATAAAAAAGGTACAAAGAAGAAAAAACGTAAAAGTTGACCTGGCTACCAGAAACCCTCCCCAGATAAAAGAGGCAATAAGGTAACATTAGGGTCATTACCCCTCTGATGTTTATTTACTTATTTATTTAGATTTATTTTATTGTATTAATTTCAACCCTCTGATGTGACCTGAGAAGTTTAAATAAAGGAGGAAAGGCAACATTGTAGAGATGGAGTAAAATCTTGCACCATGTGCCTCCAGTCGTCAGGTTTTTAATTACTGAATATGTAGCAGGTCTGTACGGAAGAGGATTAGGGCCACTGAAAAAATAACAAACGATTTTTTTTTTTATTTTATTTCAGTATAGTACGGGAAAAAGTCAGAATTCTGACTTTTTTCTCAAAATTCTGACTTTGATCTCAGAATTCTGACTTTTTTTTTCTCAGAATTCAGTCAGAATTTTGAGATTAAAGTCAGAATTCTGACTTTTTTCCCATGTTCAACTGAAATAAAATTTAAAAATCAGTTAACTTTTTTTTTTTCAGTGGCCCTAATCCTCTTCCGTAGGTTTGGGTTTCCATAGCTGCTGCTGTTGCATTTAATCCCGTTTATAGATATTTACATTCAGGCACAAAATAATTACATCTAAATCTGTCTGCAGCAGTGTAGGCGTGAGAATTGTCTATTCTTCACCTCCAGCGTAGCAGCAGCTACCTGACGTAGCTCTGGACGCGCCTGCTAATCGCCTCATTTAAACCTTTTTATAAAACCTGTAATCTGTAAATATAACTCAATATAGAAAAGATCCTGATAGAAAGTGTTTGGTTGTTTTGCACCATCAGAAAGCTGACGGACGTTTGCAGGTGAAATCGATTGTTTCTATGTTAACTTAATGCTGCTGGCTGACCAGAAACGAAGGGGGAAATCTATTCAGTGTTTTCTATTTTCCCGCCTCACATTGCAGCTTTCTAACTTTAAAGATTCTTCTTCACTTAGAAGAAGGAATGACTGAATACTGCAGTGGATTTTTGGAAGAAAGTAAGAATAAGAAAATATTTAATAAGAAAACACACACACACCCATGTTGTGTCACAATATCCTTGTGGGGACCTTCCATTGACTTCCATTCATTTCCCACTAATTTATATGGCCTAACCGTGACCCTTGCCCTAACCCAGGGGTCTGCAACCTGCGGCTCCAGAGCCACATGTGGCTC